CCCCATACCAGGACGAAGGGGCCGTCCTGTGTTTCCATGTTTCTAATGGTGGTCTAACATTGATCGATTCATGATTTCAAATGTGTAACTTAACATTGTTCACAACCACGTAATTAAATCTAGAGTGAGTATAGATAGAACGCAGTTTATATGCTCGATGTAACATTGCTCCGTCAAGCGTGTTCTTCTAAAAAGTCACTCTAGCTGTGTATTGTAAGAGTGAGTTTATGTATAGTCTCATTAGAAAAAAAAACATATCAGTAACGACGGATTTTCGAACGTTTTTATTTACTGATCATGGTTAATAAGTCGTATAAAAAATAAATCAGTTAAACTAACGCAAAAACAAATTTAAAATCAAATTGAAATAGTACAATATTTTAATTAGAATATTGTGTAGTACCCATGAGATTACAGAATAATTTCCACTAGAAAAACACCAAGATTTCTTGCGCATCTAAAGTTATGAAGATCAGTGTTTTTTCATATCGAAATAGCGAATAGATTATTGTTAGACCACCATTAGAAATCTAGAAGCACTGAAAGACGGCCGTTTCGTCCTGATATGCGACTCGTCAGTAGTAGTGCACATCCACGGCTTCTGTTGCTCGCCGGATTCTAACCCGGAGCCTTCGGTTCCTAATGGTAGTCTAACAATGATTGATTGATGATTTCAGTGTAAAAAAAGTGCTGATCTCCATAACTCTAATTGAGGATATAATTGCACAAAGTGCTCACTGGTGAATAGTTGCGTGAGAAAATTCTCGGAGTTCTAGCGAGAAGATATGACCAGTGAAGGTTAACCCTTTCGGATGTGGGCAGTAACTATTAAAGACAAGTGGTTGAGGTGGCCCAAAGTCCCTAGATTGATCAGGGTCAGACATTAACATGGATGAATGCTTGCCCAGTTATCCAGAGGTTAGGCGTTCACATGCAAGATCGAAGTTCCTGAGTTCGAATCCTGCGAGGCGCAGGGGTTGAGGATACACACTGCTGTTGAGTCGTATACCAGGTCGAAATGGCCATCCAGTGCTTGCAGGTTTCTAATGGCGGTCTAACAATCATTGATTGATGATTTCAATGTGAAAAAAAACACAAAGATTTCGTTCCAAACAATGGAACACGTCAAAAAGTTGATGACAAATGTTGATTTTATCGATCCTCTAAAATGTCACTCTTTATTTATATGATGAGATTGTTGACATTTGGTGATTAGTTTACAGATATCATATACATATGGAAAATATATGGAATTACTACCAAAACCTATGATGAAGGTCAGACTGAATGAAACTTAAATAGATACGAGGAATATTATACGCAATAAACATTGAATTGGAATAAAATTAATGTTTTCTTGAATAAAATATCGCGCTGAGTTAAAAATTCGGTTTGGCTGCTTCTTCCCATAAACATGATTGATTGTATTTGGATGTAAAGATTACTGAGTTTTATTGTAATTATGGTTTGATCTAATTTAGAAAAACTAGGAAGCGTCTGTTAATTTGTGTTTGCTTCTGTACATCTGCATGTTAATCGAATCGCTCCAACAGTAAGATTTATTCGAAAGCACTTTTAAGTGAAGTTCGTCTAATAGCTAGCCGTGGAATTCGTTATGTGTGTTTCACTCAATTCGAGACTGGTTGACTGAAATTAGTTGCATGTTAGTATCAACGTTCATAACGAAACTCGAACACATTAGCTTTCACTTCAAACAGCTGGGTGCTTTATCTACATAGGATGAAACTTATCTCCTGGATTCCACTGTCACTTTTACTTACTTACTTACTTATTTACGCCTGTTGCCCTTAATGAAGTGTAAGCTGCCCACCTGTGAATTATTTTTCCGGTTAGCGTTGTTTTTTCAGCTAGTCGTATTTCAACCCCCTGCTCAACTCTCCTCCTTTGGACCGGCAGTAAACCTAGAAGGGCTCCAGGTGAAGTTATTCCACTGTCAGCCAATACCTAATCATCGGATAAAGGTGATAGTTGAGAGTAGTGAAGGAGAACACAGGTGGGGCAACCAAATTGTATTTAACGAAAATTACAGAGTTACTCAGTAAAATAGGAAAAACCATATAGTAAATCGTTCATTTGAAAAATATCAGTTCATCATATCAAACTGGACAGTTCCTGTTGCAAAACATCAATCCATTGTCACTATCCATGCGTTTCATACAAATTCCCTTGTGTTCTTCTAACTCTTCCTTTCTTGATCTTCCCCCATGTTCTGCTGCCAGACATTACGTTGACACTCACGTCATATACTACTTATAAGTAGCTCGCATCACACTCGTCCCCCCTTTTAATAATCTGTCGTCGTAGTCTTTCTGATTGCCGTATCGCTCTCTTCGTTGGTGCTTTCCGTGACTCACACACTTGATAATCTTGAAACCACCTCTGCAGTTGACTGGCATTCACGTGTTTTTGATTGTCTCCTTTCCGTATCGTGTAAACAGAGCCACGTCTCTCAATAACAATGTACAGTCCTTCCCATTTTGGGAGCAGCTTCCCCGATCCTTGTCCCCATGCTACGGTGCCTTTTCGTTCTCTATATTTTACCAGGTCCCCAACTTTAAACGGCTTCCACTGCCTATTCTGCTGTTCTGTCGTTGTGTGCGACATCTGTTTAGTAAGATAGTCATAAAAAAAACCTAGGCCACTAAATAATTGTTTCGTTCTTGTGTGGGAATCCTCATCAATGCACTCTCATCAGTTATTAATCAGGCTATTGGAAAGAAATCTCAAAATAAATCAATATCATTGATTTACTGAAAAGAGAATTGAATACATCAAAAAAAAAACCTGAAACCGATAATAACTCGATTAATTTATCTAGTGAAATACAATGACCCTAGACTAAGTCAATCGAAATCTTACAGTTGTAAGGATCACTAGATATTGAGCTATTATCATCTGACTGAATAAACTTTTATGAATAAGGGAGTTTTATAATTCATCTATCATAACAAACATTATTATATACTGCAAATCAGCACGCTCTGTAGTTGATTTTTATATTTTACTGAGAAAAATAATCATTTCTTCAACCATTTTGACCAATCATCTCCTAATAAACCTTTTTCCCATACTTGTCTTCTGACCTTCAGATGACCTTGTTTTTGAAATGAGTGCCTTTTTCGTGCCCCAAAATTTAGAATGCGTTTCGCAACAACAACAACAGCCACAAACTAGTGACTTAACAGATAAAAATACTGTCTATGTGTATACTTCTTTGATCGTATAAATGTGGTCTTATTTGCTAGACGATTTAAGCAGCATATTTAGTGAATTAATCATGAGAGCATTGTTGATTATCGAATGAGGCTCAATAACTTTCGAACGTTCGAAATCATCACAGCACCAATCATTTGGAATCAAATCACTTTTTTAAATGGTTTTCTCAATAATTAAAACCACTTACTGTTTTTTTTAAGTAGAATCGAATTCAAACTACACACGTTATTGTCGTTGTTTTAACATTGAACAAAGGTATACTGAACATTTATATGAATAACAGATTATTATCTGCGATTCACATGTACGTTTCCCTAATCTAAACATAATCTGACTAGATTTCTAGCTGAAATTATGTACAAAACAAAAGTTCATTTATCTTCATGATACTGGGTTTAGTCGAGATATCATATATCTGAGATGTCACTAATGCAAGAAATTCCGAGCAAAGTTTTGATCAATATGTAATACTATTCTTCTGTTGAACAAAAAAAACAGAAACTCTTTCGTATTTAAATTGTTGGCGATGTTAGATCCCCAGAACTCGCTTGAAAAATGTCATTATATTGGATTTTATTCATGTGCTAACCAGTTGACCTTGAGATCACATTTCCCACCTTGGCTATGATTGGTTACTGTGTCATTTTAGTGTGCTATTTTTGTGACGTCTAAATAAACGCAATTTGAGTGCTTGGATTCAGTGTGTGCTGGCTGTGTGCTTGTAGAATACACTTTCTATGATATATCAAGACTTCTTGCTGGTACATTTGAGTCAATGGATCACAGTAGCCTACTTGGACACTGGTTCCTTGTTTTGTTCTCGTTATTTGACTAAGGTGAACCCGTAATAGTTTTAAGCATACCTGGAGACGAGCATAACATAAATGTCGCTATATTATACTCAGCATTCTTTTTTTAATGTCTTGTCAATGTAAACAAATTTCATTGCGAATGGCTCTGTATTACTGACTAGAGTTATGTCGCTTTTAATCGAGATTTTTCTGTTGATCATTTTAACTGATTTGTCTTGATCACTACTGATGCACATTAAAACATGTGTACACGAATGTCAACAACCGAAAAAAAGCAGATAGAATTGAATTAGTTTATGAAGAAAAACATAACACTGATACACAGATGGAAGCATTAGACAGTGACCAAGAAAATTCTGTAACTATAACAACAAGTTTATATGAACATTAAGAAAATCCTGATTGAACGAGATGCACTAAATTTGTTATGTTCGTCACGAGGTACGCTTGAAGATATTACAAGTTCATCTTAGTCGATAAACGCGAACAAGACAATGTACCAGCGTCCAGGTAGGCTACCTTGAATACCAAGCTGTAAACAGAAGTCTTGGTAAGCGTAGAAATTATATTCTACAAACACCCAGAAATCGCAATACAATCAAGCACCCAACTCTCGTTTATTTATAAATCATAGAAACGTCCTTGGGACAGTCACAAAAATAGCACACTAAAATAGACAGCAGCCAATCACAGCCATGGATTCTCCTGTTGTGAAATGAAATCTCAAGGTCAACTGGCCAGTCCATGCTCGCAAACGTGAAATCCAAAATAAGCCATTAATAAATCGAGTTTTGGGGATCTGACATCCCCAACAAAATTTCCAAAAAAGGCCAATTGAATTTTCACATTGTCCCAGTGATGATTAGAACGGTTCTTACTAATAAGGATATTTATTATTGTCCCCTTGATAAATTTGTTTGAATTTTCTGGTTTTCTGATTTTCTTTTTCAGTTAACTAATGAATTTGTCATTTTTCTATGCTTTCTCATTGGTTATATTATATCAACGATCAGTGTGATTAGTGGAATTTTCATACTACAATATTTTAAGTAAGTCGAATTATGATGAACTCAGTGATTGTTTTCATTTTGATATACAGAGAAAAAAATGTAATTTTTTATTGAATGAATCAAATTGTAAGAAATTGTTATTGATTATTGTTACGCTTGAATGTAAACACGTCAATTTTGATATGTTTGAATCACTATGAGTTTACGTTAGTTGAAAAATGAGAGCGAGGATCGATGATCCAGCGAGACGACAAGCTACCCTAATCCGAGTGTGTCAAATACCCATTGAGTAAAATGAAGAAGACTTGATATGAAGTAGAACCTGTATTCTACAAGCGTCTAGAAAGTACGAGGTGTGGGTCCAGAAGAGAATCAGGATCTCGGGCTAGGGATCCAGGTCCGGGTCATAAAACGTTACACATAATGCATATTTATACATTTAGCTCGAATAGGAAACAGCATCGAAGTCTGTGATATTGACAGTTAAGGCGACCAATCGGAAAAACATTTGAACTCACATTGATAGTCATGACGACCAGTAGGAAACATTGGCGTATGTGACATTGACAGCTGGGACAACCATAACATTGACCAGTAACAAATCGACCAATAGAATTGGACTTACGAAGTTAATTCTCTTAGAATATTTGATGAATATCGTAATAGTTATGGAGTTGATAAAAAAAAATGAGACGTTTTAGTAAGAAATATGATGATAAGTAAATAATGTGCACGTCACGACGATTCGTCTGCACATAGAGCAATGACTTACCCTAGAACTCCCAGTCTGTTCTAAATCAACATCTCAACTTACAAGATGTTAGATCCCTGTGTTTTGATTTTCTTCAAACATTCGAAAGCAATAGAACGTGAAAAGAGGGGTCAGCTAGAAAATCTTCGATCTGAGTCTTTCCGGGATGAAAATAATCCTACAACCAGTGCAATGACAGAGTTGTGAAGAACTTCTAAGTTGCTATGAAAATAAACTGAAAACACTGTAGTACATTTTTGTCAAAATGTCACAGTTTACACATAAATAAGTTTGATGACTGGTAACAATATAGATTTCAGGTGAAACTGAGCTTTATTTATAAAAGCTGGTCATTCTCTCTCTAAATATTTTTACTCTATACAATTACCATCTTGTTAGCTGTGAAAAGCAAATAAGTGAATATCTGAATCCTGTATAATATTCTTAAACCATAGGCTTGATCAATATTCAATCCGTTATTACTTAGATGGATTGAACAATTGAACAAAGAAATAAAACGTTCGGCTTATCAATTTCAGCTGAAAAATAATTATCAGAACATGAAGACAATGTGAATGCCTTTTGTTTTGTTAAATATTATTTATACTTGATGATTACATAATCGAATTTGTCTTATCCTATTCAAAGAATTACAATATGTAGTTTTCTCCTCGAAAGTTTTCATAGTGAACATCCATTATATTTCGGCTGTAAAGTCATCATCTTGAACTTGATTTAGAAACTAGTAGAACGTTAATTAAGTTCTGCTGAAATATTGAAATGATACGCGAATAGATATCGATTTCTGATCCAATTATTTTTACTGAAAGCTAAAGCACAAGTTCATTGTAAAAACCGAAAAATTTAGTTTTGGAGCTCACTGATTGTCTCCGGTGTTAACTGACAGTAGGCGTGATATCCGTTCGCTAACCAAAGGACGAGTGTACTGCGCAGCAGTTCGCTTCGTTCTCCTATATGGCTGTGAAACATGGCCGTTAAGAGTAGAAGATGTTCGTAGGTTACTAGTATTTGATCATAGATGTTTAAGAAGCATTGCTCGTATACCGTGGGACAACCGAGTAAGCAATGCTGTTGTTAGGAAACTAGTGCTAGCTAAGGATGGCAGATCAATTGATAAAGTGGTGAAACTTCATCAGTTGAGGTGGTTAGGGAATGTTTTACGTATGCCTAACCACCGACTGCCTCGACGAGCTTTGTTTTGTAATGTAGGAATAGGTTGGAAGGAAGCTAGGGGCGGCCAGACCAAAACATGGCAGAAATCCATAAAGTCAGTGAAAAGTGGACTGAGTCATGTTGGTAAATGTAGACTGCCTGGTTGGGGTCCGCGAGACGAAAGTCACTAATGGTTGGGGACCTTAAACGACATGGCTCAAAATCGTTTGCAATGGCGCAAGTGCATCCATTCTTTGAGCTCTCTCAAATCCTAATCTTCTGGATTCGTCAACACCTCTACACCTTTGTCTTTCTAACCTTATCTCACTGAATTATACTTCTTGAATAATATCTTCGAACCCTAGTCTTCTTCATAACCAATAATACCTCTACTATCTTTATCACTATGGGATTTGATTTGACATCTGCGTCTCTGTGCTAATGCAGTATGGCAACATGAACTTATGTACATACGTACGACGTTCTACGTTGCAACTGACTGACAGAATTTCAAACGATAAATTAATAAACTATCGAACCATTCGTTTTTAAACAAAAACCACTGCCTACTTATTAATATTGATGATAAATATCATTATGTCAATATAAATTATTTACTGTGGTGTTTAAATACTGTATTTCCTCTATTTCACAGATCACTGGCATGTGTACGCAATAATATTCATACGCATTTAATGATTGCCATATTGTTACGTGCATCGTCATGGATTTGTTTAGCTTTAATCAATACAACTACGCTGGTAAGTTTGAAAAAAAAACAAATAAGCAAATTCATTTGGATTGTTGTATGTTTAGAAAAATAGGGATATCATTTCTTATGCATAATATTTGCTGATATTAACTGGATGATCAGAATTTTGCAGGTGATCTGTTTCTTCTTTTGTCGCACATGCAACAATAAATGCAAGAGAAGACGACGACTGTAGCTGGAGCCTCTGTAGCAGCAGGTCTCAACATACCATAAACGGAAAAGCAAGATTCTGAGATACAATAAAACATGCACCAAACAAATCACTCTTGATGGAGATGCCTTGGAGGACGTTAACACCTTTACATATCTGGGCAGCATCATTGACGAACAAAGTGGATCCGATGAAGATGTGAGAGCGCGTATCGATGAAGCATGGGCTACATTTCTAAAATTCAAAAATATCTGGAACTCAAAACAACTATCAACAAACACCAAAATCAGGCTTTTCAATATAAATGTCAAAACAGTTCTACTGTATGAAGCGGAAACTTAGAAAACTACCAAAGCAATCATCCAGAAGATGCAGGCGTTTATAAATATCTTTCTGTGCAAAATAATGAGGATCCGTTGATCAGACACAATCAGCAACAATCTACTGCGAGAAAGAACAAACCGGATTCCAGTGGAGGAGGAAATCAGGAAGAAGCGGTAGAAGTGGATAGAACACACACTGTGGAAAGCATTTAACTGTGTCACAAGACAATCCCCCACTTAGGACCCTTAAGTTTAAAGGAAAAGAAGAAGGCCTAGGAACATATTACACCGAGAATTTGAGACAGAACAGAAAAGGGAAGCTCAGGACAGAGTAAGTTGGAGAATACTGGCCGGTGGCCTATGCTATATTGAGGGGTAACAGGTGTAAGTAAGTAAGCAAATAATCTAGACATGTAATCACTGAAACGAAATCCAATTTGATCAAAAATTCACATTGTGTTGTATTTGTGCATACAGTTGAGAAAAATCAAAAACTGTGAAAAAATCTGTTAACGGCTGGTATGTAAACACATTCAAAATAATCGTGTACATCTTTTATTCAACTAAGCCAAATACATTAGAAAAAAGTATTTTTTTATCTGAAATGCATATTCACAAAATCGTGTAACTTTTCATTTCAAGTCAAATATTAATCTGCATGGTATTTAACATTACTTATTCTAATTTACTGTTTGATAAGTTAGTGGAACTGTCAAACTGACTCTTTTTTTTCAAGTTAGTTTCTGGAATTTCATGTTAATTTCATTTCTTAATCTGATAACATGTTTATATTACGGATCAGTTAGAATAAAATATCTAAGATTATAATTTTTTTTCTCAAGTACTACATAAATAGATAGAGCTTAGATTGATGGTCAATTTATTTTCTGATAAAGTTTTTCGTTGAACATATGTCTGTTAGGTTTTAAGCTGCATAAATTGAAATTAAAAAGCCAGTATGATGAAAATCTCATCTATTGTAATCACTAAACTATAAAGTCCATCTCTAGATTTGTTATAAATCGACTATACATGTGCACTGGTTGTTGAAATCAAAGCAATGACCTTAAAATCCCCAACTCAATTCTGATTGGCTGGTTTAATTATGCTATATAAAATGTAGTATACTTATATCTAATCAGTAAACATCATTGTTTAGGTTTTCGAATAAATTCGACAGTGGATACTCGGCTTATTCGGTAATAGGAGTATTAATTACTTTATCTATAATATGATATCTCAGTGAGTATAAAAAATAAATGTTTCTATAAATAACTACTCAGTGTAAATTGTATTTTTCAGTGAATAACTAATCATTTTCCAACTAACACAAGTTTGAATGATACAAAGTATAAAGATGAATCAAGTCAATACTTTCCTCAGTGAAGATCCAGTCGTGTCATGACACAATCTTTACTTTTGTATTAAAGTATTATACAGATCGTTGGTTTACACTGAAATCCTCTCACTCAGGAATAGATCAAAAATGCACTCACTAGTGACTAGCTTCGTGAGAAAACTCACAATTCTAGTGAGATGTGACCAGCGGAGATAAATCCTATCGGGTGTATGTGGTGGAAACAACCGAAGACGATGGGTGAGGTTGCAGGAAATCCTTAAATTGATCAGAGTTAGACAGTTACACCGTTGGAAGGCGGCTCAGTGTGCCAGAGGTTAGACGCTCGGGCGCAAGATTAAAGGTCTTGAGTACAAATTCCGCGAGAAGTAGTAGTCATGGAAGCGCATTGCTGAATAGTCCTATACCAAGATAAAACGGCTTACCGGGACTTTCGGGTTTTCTGCTCGTCACTTGATATGCTTGAAACTAATACAATTTCACCTTAGTCGATAAACGAAATCGAGACAATGAACCAATGACACAGTAGGCTATTCTAGTCCGTTGTCCCTAGCCCGGCTAACTATATCAAGAAGTCTTGATATGGCGTAGAATGTGTATTCTACAAGCACCCAGCAAGCACACGTTGATCTCAAGCACACAAATAGCGTTTATTTATATATCATAGAAACGTCACAAAAATAACATACTAAAATAACACACCAACCAATCACAGCCAAGGATTTTCCTGAGGAAAAATGTGAGTGATCTCAAGGTCAACTGATCAGCCCATGAATAAAATCCAAAATGAAGGCGTTTATCAAGTGATTTCTGGGTATCTAACGTTCTGAACACTGAGTTCCTAATAGTGGTCTAACATAGATCAATTCATGATTTCAATGTACAATCTTTGTTTAATAACTTCGGAGTTACGTTTATCCTTAGCATGACTAATGCATAACTTCCTTATGAAGAACAATAGGTTTCTCCGGTTTCATTGTTTATTTAACCTGATCAAATGAGTTGAAATTTAACAACTGTTATTTACACATGTGAAATCATCAATCAATCATTGTTAGACCACCGTCAGAAACATGGAAGCACTGAAAGACGGCCGTTTCGTCCTGGTATGGGAATCACCAGTTGCAGTGCGCATCCACGACTCAGGCATCTCGCAGGATTCGAACCCAGAACCTCCGGCATTGTGAACGGTGTTAATGTCACCCAGTCAGAGTTACACATTATCACTGTTGAATGCTGGCCCAGTGGTCCGATGGTTAGGCGTTCGCGCACAAGATCGAAGTTCCTGGGTTCGAATCCTGTGAGGTGCAGGAGTCGTGGGTGTGAACTGCTGATGAGCCCCATACCAGGACGAAACGGCCGTCTTTAAGTGCTTCCATGTTTCTGACGGTGGTCTTACAATGATTGATTGATGATTTCAAATGAGTAAAAACACAAACCTCCAAAAACTCTGTCCGAAAAAACTGTTATTTAGTATGCGAAAAGTAAAACTTTTAAACTGGATAGAATAAATTTTTGTTTTTGTCTTAATTAAGTACTAATCTCTTTCTTGATAAATCAAGATTAGAATGAATAGGATGAAAAAAGGAAATGGGCAAATTTTACCTTTATTTTTTTTGTCACAGACATCAATGACCTTAGAATGCTTGAACTGTTGTTGTTGGTATTGGAGAATTTTTTTCTTCGAATCCCTTTCTGAGTTGTCTGTTTAAAGAATTCACTATAGATTTGTTTCATTTTAATATTCGGTTATTAGTTGATATGGCTATCTCTAGGAATAGGTGTTTTCAATCTCATGTCCATTGTTTCATCCCATTATTATGAATATTATTATTATTATTATTATGATTAGCATCCCATTTTACACATGACGTTACCTTTGATTCATACACCCACACACACTCAGGATATTAATGGATTTGTCCCTATATATATATATATATATATATATATATATATATATATATATATATATATATATTAAAAATGGTCATAGTAAACTGAAGAATACATAAAAAGAATCAAAATATCTCTCTCTTTGATAAAAGTTCACTAACCTTATGAGGTAGGCTTTTGTTTATTTTGTTTTGTTTTATTTTCTCACCGTGAATTCAAACACTCTACAAAAAGGCACACATACACACACAAACACATCTTAAAATGAAACATGAAATCATTATTCAAAGTAATAATAACAGCAACAACAAGAATTTATCACGTATATTTATGCAATAAATAGAATTAGTGTTTATTAATAATTGTGTTCTAAATATCGCAGGTTGAAGACAATAATACGATCACTTAAAGACATGTTTACACCATACAGTACTAGTAGTAGTAGTAGTAATAGTAGTAGTAGTAGTAGTAGTAGTAGTGGTAGTAGTAGTAGTAGTAGTAGTAGTAGTAGTAGTGGTAGTAGTAGTAGTAGTAGTAGTGGTAGTAGTAGTAGTAGTAGTAGTAGTAGTGGTAGTAGTAGTAGTAGTAGTAGTAGTAGTGGTAGTAGTAGTAGTAGTAGTAGTGGTAGTAGTAGTAGTAGTAGTGGTAGTAGTAGTAATAGTAGTAGTAGTAATAGTAGTAGGAGGAGTTACGTTTATTAAGGTCAATTCTGGAGTTGCCTATTCTTATTTTTATCAATCTGTAAGGACAATACATTCAATAACACAGGATGGCATGAAGTCAGTTTATTGTAATTTTATTCTCATGAAATGTCTACAATCTATGATAATTCAATCACAAGAAATAAAATGAAATGTACTTTTGCACTGGAATAAAAGGGGCATGTAAACACGTAACGGTATATCTAAGTAAAATTTGATATGAACTGAGTAGAATATTTCAGACAGAAGATAATAGAATTTTAGACACACATTTCAATCATCTTAATCTATTCACATTAAAATTCTTAGCATTATAGGGTTGTGAAGATTGTTAAGTTACTTTTTCTTGAAATCATAAATCGATCAATGTTAGACCATCACCATTAGAAACCTGTAAGCACTGGACGACCGCTTCGTCCTAGTATAGGACTCATCAGCAGAGGTGCGCATCCTGCGCCCCGCAGGATTCGAACCTATATATATATATACGGCTGAGAAACATGGCCGGTAAGAGTAGAAGATAATCGCAGGTTACTGGTTTTCAATCATAGGTGTATCCGAAGCACTGCTCATATATCGTGGGACAGCTAAAAATCAATGCTGTCGTTAGAAAACGGGGGCTAG